CGATTATTAAAAAGCCAAAAAATAACAGATGCTCGCGAGTTTGTGGAGAAAAAGGGAATATTTATACATTGTTGGTTGGAGTGCAAATTAGGTCAGCCATTGTGGAAGACTGTGTGGTGATTTCTGAAAGACCTAAAGACAGAAATACCATTATACCCAAAGGAATACAAATCATTCTCTTATAAAGACATAGGCACACATATGCTCATTGCAGCAACATTCACAATAGCAAAGACGTGGACTCAACTTAAATGCCCGTCAATGATAGACTGGATAAAGACAATGTGGTACATATACACCATGGATTACTATGCAGCCAGAAAAAGTAACAAGATCATGTCCTTTGCAGGGACATGGATGGAGCTGGAAGTCATTATCCTTAGCAAACTAATGCAGGGACAGAGAAGCAAATACTGCATGTTCTTACTTATAAGTGGGAACTAAATGATGAGAACGCATAGAGACAGAGAGGGGAACAACACACACCAGCGCCTTACAGAAGGTTGAAGGTGGAAGGAGGGAGAGGATCAGGAAAAATAACTAATGGTTACTACGCTTAAAACCTGGGTGATTAAATAATCTGTGCAACAAACTCCCACAACACAAGTTTACCTATAAAACAGCCTGTACCTGTACCCCTGAACTGAAAATAAAAGTTACAAAAGGAAGTGAACTGCAGATTCTGCCTGTTGCTGAGCAGGTCTATTTCAATTATGCAAACCAGCGCTGAGGAAATAATCACAGGGTGGTCAGGGGCCCACTGGACCCGCTGTGAGAACGGTTCACGGATGTTAGGACTTCAGGTTTTCTATTCTTCTTAATTTAACCTTGCTAGGTTGTATGTTTCCAGGAATTTATCCATATCCTCCAGGTTTTCCAGTTTGTCAGTACAGAATTGTTCCTAATAGTCTCTGATAATCTTTTGTATTTTTGCGGTATCAGTTGTAATGTTTGTCTTTTCTTTTCTGATTCTGTTTGAGTCTTCTCTCTTTGTTTCTTGGTTTGTCTAGCTAGTGGTTTATCACTTTTGTTTATCTTTTTGTAGAACGATCTTTTCACTTGGTTGATCATTTACTTGGTTTTTAGAAGTCTTTAGTTCTGTTCTGATCTTTGTTATTTTTTCTGCTAATTTTGGATGTGGTTTGTTGTTGCTTTTCTAGTTCCTTCAGGTTCATTGTTATATTGTTAATTTGTAGTGTTTTTACTTTTCTTAGGTAGGTATTTATTGCTATAAACGTCCCTTTTAGCCTTGTTTAACTGTATTCCACAGGTTTTGGTATATGTTGTGTTTCCATTTTCATTGGTTTCAAGAAACTTTTTGATTTCCATCTGAATTTCTCTGTTGACTCAATAGTTATTCAGGAGCATGTTGTTTAATTTCCACGTATTTGTCTAGTTGCCAAAGTTTCCCTTGGAGTATAATTGCAGTTTTATTCCATTGTGACTGGAGAAGATATTTGATATGGTTTCAACTTTTGAAAATTTGTTGAGTTTTTTTGTGGCTTAACATAGGCTATCTCCCAGAAAATATTCCATGTGTTATGAAAAGAGTATAGTATATTCTATAGTGTTAGAGAGAATGCTCTGTAAATGTCTGTTAGCATTATGAGTTCTAAAGTTCCGTTTAAATCCAATGTTTCTTCTTGATTTCTGTGTAGATGATCTGTTTAATGCTGAGGGTTGGATGTTGAAGTCCCCACTATTATTGTACTGGAGTCTATCTCTATTATTAGATGTAGTAATTTTACAGGCTGCTCTTTATTAGAAAAGAAAATGACTTGCGGGCTGCATTTCATTAAAAGGAAAACCTTACTGAGGACTTCTGTACCCTCACTATCTGCCTAAATAATTTCTTCTTAACTCCTATATCACTGCCAGCCTCTGAGCCAGAGTGAGGTCACACAGAAAGGCTGGGACTGTGCAGAACACATTTTAGTAAAGATGGCTGAGTGACAGTAGTGATGTCCAGTTTCCAGGTGCAGCAGTGACGTCTCCCCTGGCCTCAGTGTCCAGTGTCCAGCACCAGGTGTCAGAGGTGTGAGCAGTGGCGTCTGTGCTCAGCAGCAGGGGCAGTTCTTCCTAGGAGGGACCTGATCCAGGGTGGGCTGTGGATTCTGTTTCTGGATGTGTAGTTTCCAGCCTAGTTCTATGGCCTTCCCCACAATAAAATTAGCCCCCAGTACCATGTATGCTACTGTATGTGTAAATTAGAGAAATTTGGTTTCCACAGTTTTCTCCAAGAAGTGAGTGGGAAATGAGTCTGTGGGCGGGTGTCAGAGAGCGGCATTCACAGGTGTTCCTTGTGCGAGAGCCACATCCTGAACTGTCTACCTGGCCTCTACCTCATGGTGGAGAGAACAACAGGGAATGTCACATCTCATAACTGATGATACACATCCTCCCTTTTCTTTCTGTGAGAAAAATCCTCTTTTAAACAGGGTTTGAAAACCCACTCCACCCACCCACCCTGGGCACTCGCTGATCTCTGATCTCAGTGGTTCCCGATCTGGCTGAGCAACAGGATTGCTGGCGGGGCTTAGAAAATACACAGGCCACTCCCCAGAATCCCTGTCTCAGAATATTATGCACAAGACCAAGGAATCACTTATATAACAAGCCCTATGGGCAAGGCTGATGCTCAGACATGTGGGATCCTGGTGTTCTTGATCTGGAGACCAGCAGCATGAGCTCCAGCCTTGTCATAAATCAAGAATCTCTTGTTTAACTCCAGACTTCCTGGATCTCAGCACCACGTCCAGGTGATCCCTGTGGACATGGGAGTTCCTTGTCTAAGTGTCCTCTAGACTTGGGGTCAGAACTATGCAGTCTGCTCTGGGTGTGGTCTGATCACATCCCTTACAACTGGAGGTTCAGGGTTCTGTCCTTGCACTCATTCTTTTCCATAGTCAACCACTCCCTTGGTGCCCTCATCCATGCTTGAGGTTTTAAGTATCATTTATACAGTGTGAGCTCCTAAATCTATTTCTCCTGCCCAGTCTATTTCTCCTTTCTGCTAAACTCTGGAGTTGTCTGTCTAAATTCCACCCCAGCTCCCTCACCTGCATTCCTAGTAGACATCTCCACTGAGTGCCTGTGATGCCCCCTCCTCAGTATGCTCCTGCCAGAGTCTCCCCATCTCCACTGACAGCAGCTCCACCCTTCCTTCTACTCACTCATTTTACAACTATGGGTGTCCTTGATTCGTCTTTCTCACACCACAGATACAATCCATTGGCACATGTTGTGAGTCCATCTTCAAATGCATCTAGAATCCCCTCACATCCCACTATTTCCCCTGCTCACACCCCAGTCAAGGTCACTGACATCTCCAGCCTGGAATACTGCACTCGCTTCCTACTGTTCTTCCCTTCTGCCTCCCTCGTCCCTCACCTCTCAATTCCCTTCTCAGTACAGCAGTCAGAGATCCTTTTAGAAGAGAGGTTGTGGCTGGGCTTGGTGGCTCACGCCTGTATCCCAGCACTTTGGGAGACCGACACGGGCAGATCACTTGAGGTTGGAAGTTTGAGACTAGCCTGGCCAACGTGGCGAAACCCTGTCTCTACTAAAACTACGAAAATTAGCCGGGCTTGGTGGTGGGTACCTGTAATCCCAGTTACTCAGGAGGCTGAGGCAGGAGAATCGCTTGAACCTGGAAGACGGAGGTGCAGTGAGCGGGGATCATGCCATTGCACTCCAGCCTGGGTGACAGAGCAAGACTCCATCTTAAATAAATAAATGAATAAATAAATAAATAAATAAATAAATAAATAAATAAGTAGTTGTACCATGTCCCTCTTCTGCTCAAAATTGTCCTCTACCTCCCATCTCACTCGGAGCAAAGGTCAGATCCTTCCCCACTCCCCTCAAGCCCACCTGCTCTGGCTGTACCTCTGACCTCATCTCAGTTTCTCTCTGTCCAGCCCTCCTGGCCTCCTTGCTTTTCAGGAAACACAGACACCTTCCTGCTCTAGTACATTTGAACTGGAGGATCCTCTGCCTGGAAAGAACTTCCCCAGACATCCTCATGGACAACTCCTCATGTCCCTCAAATCTTTCCTCAAAGGTCACCTTTGCAACGTGGCACACACTGACCACCCCAGCACAACAGCCACCTTCCCTGTCCCCACTGCCCACACCCTGGGTCACCTGTCTCACAGCACTTACCACCTTCTGGCACTTTCTTCCCTTGCTCTGGTTATAATGTATCTTTCGTCTGCCTCCGCATTGGAACACATGCTACCCAAGGTCAGAGATTTTTCTCATTTACTTCAGTGATGTTCCCCAGATGCAGAACCCCTCTGTCCTATGTCTGGCTGACGACAAAGGTCAGTTGAATGAATGATCAGTGTAGAGCACCTCCCTATTCTAAAGCCAGTATCTTTGTTAACATAGCTTCAGGCCAAATGCTGTTTTGTGGTGACCACAGCACAAGGTCCCCTCACACTGACACCGAGGCCGTCTGTGCTTTTCTCAGCAGTGCTGCTTGTGGTCCTCCCTCCCCCATCCTTCCTCCCACACCAACACTCCCACACACCACAGCACACAATCAGGTTTCTCTCTTCAGGAAAGAACAGTCCTTGATGATGGGCCCAATTTCACAAACAAGTATAAACCTAAATTTCACTCTGCTTTAGATTTGAGTTGGGATTTGAGCCAGCACCAAGATCACTAGAACCAGGGCAGGGAGAGAGGGCAGGAGAGGAGCCCTAGAAGGAGGGCAGGAATGAATGGATCTGAAAATTTGTCTCAGAAAGCACAGGGACTCCCATGTGCAGGGGCCACCCTGGGTGATGTGTGAGCCTCTGTAGTCACAGCTCCGGCTGGACAAGTTTCCACTGAAGGGACAAGGACAATGGAGCAGTGAAGGTGACCCAGCTGAGGACTGACCACATAAAGCCTATGAGGGACTGAACAGCAACTAGGCACAGGCCCCGTCCACATTCGGCTCCTCACAGCCTTCTCCAGTCCCCACCTGCAACAGACTCAGCACAGGGAACATGTGGATTCTGGAAGGTTCTCAGGTCTTTATTTCCTCTCTCAAATTTTAGGAATTGACTTATTTAATTAACCCATCAACTTCTCATGGCAAATATTGAGAAAACAAATTTCTATTCAGATTCTTATTTTCAGTAGGGAAGTAAGAGGTTGCAGCTCAATGCAGCATGAAGTTGAGACTGAGATGGAGACATCCAGTCCCACCTCTCTGGAACAGGAAAGATGACTGGGGAGGGAACACAGGTCAGCGTGGGAACAGGGGTCACGGTGGACACGGGGGTGGGCTGTCTCTCCACCTCCTCACATTATGCTGACAGGGACACAGACACATTCAGATGTCTTTGCAGAAAGAGATGCCAGAAGCTCTTGAAGTCACAAAGGGGAGGCGTGAAGAAATCCTGCATCTCAGTCCCACACAAGGCAGCTGTCTCAGGCTACAGAAAACAGTAGTCATGAACAAATTCAGGTCAGTCATGGTAAGTGATGACACTCTGAACAGTCCCCCCACAGACTCAAAACATCCCACTCAAAGAATCTCCATTACCCAGGCCTTTCCCCTCTCCCCCACCCCCACCCACTTCAAATCCCCAGGGTCTCACCTTTACAGGCCATGAGAGACTCATCAGAGTCCTGATCAGAGCCCTGGGCACTGCTGCTCCCTGGGGTAGAACAAAAACAGGACCTGGTCAGAACCCACAGGAGACGTGGTGCAGGAGGAATAATGGAGTGGGTGAACTCCTCCACACTCCCGCCCCCGCCACTTACAGTAGCTCCCGCTTTTTCCACCTGCGGGAAGTAAATGTCCTGTGAGGGGACAGGGAGGAGGCAGGGCCATGGGATCTTAGAGGAACCTCCTAGTCTTGGACCCAAGAGAAGTTTCTAGAACTATGACTACAGACCCAGGGCAGGATCAGGAAACACCAGGAAAGCAGGTGTGGGTCCTGGACCAACTGCCCTCCTAAGGTCTGTCCTTAGCAGGGACCTTCCCCTGACTCATGAATGCTGGAATCACGATCCCAACACCACAACCATCAAGGTGATACATTGTGCTTCCTTGTCACGTGTGCTGCACAGAAGAGTAAGTGCCGGCACACAGGACCCAGGCAAGGTCGGCCCATGAGTGGATGGTGCTTTCCGGTAATGAGGCAGGGAACACTTCTACCTGGGGTTTGAAACCCCCAGCGGGACAAGAAAATCCAGACCCCACCCCTCACCCCTTCCCTACCTGAGCTCTCTGTCCACCACATCACAGCAGCAACCACAGCTACGGTGACCACAGTTCCTAAGACAGCCAGGCCAGCAACGATGCCCACGATGGGGATGGAGGGCTGGGAAGCCCGTTCTGGGGAAGGAGGAGAAGGTGAGGAGCCCTGACCCCAAGGCCTAAGCCCTGATCCTGCTGAAGGGCTCCAGAAGGGCTCCCGCTTTCCCTGAGATATGACCCCTCATCCCCCTCCTTACCCCATCTCAGGGTGAGGGGCTCCAGCAGCCCCTGGTGCTGCACATGGCACATGTATCTCTGCTCTTCTCCAGAAGGTACCACCACAGCTGCCCATTTCTGGAAGGTTCTGTCCCCTGCTGGCCTGGTCTCCACAAGCTCAGTGTCCTGAGTTTGCTCCTCCTCATCTCACTGCCAGGTCAGTGTGATCTCCGCAGGGTAGAAGCCCAGGGCCCAGCACCTCAGGGTGGCCTCATGGTCAGAGACGAGGTGGTGGGTGACGTGTGTCTTTGGGGGATCTGATGGGAAGAGTCAGAAAAGTCAGGGGCTTTGCATCTCTCTTGAGACAGCCCAGCAGCACCCATGTGACCATCCTACTAATGGACAGGACACCTGGGGTGGAGAAGGGAGCACAGAACCCAGACACCAGCCTGGACACAGGCACCTGGGATAATCTCCTATTCCTTGGAAAGTTCTAGTCTCTGAGGGAGGAACAGCGACTTCTGGTCCTGACCTGAATGGAGGCCGAGGGACTAAGAAAAGCTGGAATCAGACCTTCAAACACGTTGAGAGTGAGGAAGAGAACAAGGCCTGAGAGAAAAAGCTCAAGGCTGCTGCGGTGGTCAAAGGGGAACCCTGATCAGTATTTAGGGACTGTCTTCCCCTCCATTTCCTCAGAGACGTCATCCCTTAATTGTCCTAGAGAGCAGAGGAGGCCCTCAGAGGAAATCAGGAAAATTCATGCCATTCTCCATTCAAGGGAGGGCGACATTCTAGCGCTGATCCCATTATCCTCCCCTCCTCGTGGGAGGCCATCCTGGGAGATTTATAGGAGACGGGGAAGGCTCCCCACTGCCCCTGGTACCCACGCGCTGCAGCGTCTCCTTCCCGTTCTCCAGGTATCTGCGGAGCGACTCCAGGCACTCGCCCTCCAGGTAGGCTCTCCGCTGCTCAGCTTCACGGGCCGCCTCCCACTTGCGCTGTGTGACCTGAGCCGCCATATCCGCGGCGCTCCAGGAGCTCAGGTCCCCGTTCAGGGCGATGTAATCCTTGCCATCATAGGCTAACTGGTGATACCCGCGGAGGAGGCGCCCGTCTGGCCCCAGGTCGCAGCCATGCATCCTCTGGAAGGTGTGAGACCTGGCCCCGGCCCCGCGGTCAGCCCCGCCCACCGAGCCCCGCCCCGCCCCGACCAACCCTTGGGGATTTCGGCCTATACTGAAACCGAAACCGGGCAAAGGCGCCCGCGGCACTCCCAGGTCGAGGGTCTTGGGCTGGTCCTGCTGCCTCGGGGTGGATCTCGGACCCGGGCCGTCCGTGGGGCATGGGGAGGGGTCGTGACCTGCGCCCCGGGCCGGGTCACTCACCGGCCTCGCTCTGGTTGTAGTAGCGAAGCGCGGTGCGCAGGTTCACTCGGAAAACCTGTGCGTGGGCCTTGGCTTTCTGTGTCTCCCGGTCCCAATACTCCGGTCCCTCCTGCTCTATCCACGGCGCCCGCGGCTCCATCCTCGGACTCGCGGCGTTGCTGTCGAACCGCACGAACTGCGTGTCATCCACGTAACCCACGGAGATGAAGCGGGGCTCCCCGCGGCCGGGCCGGGACACGGCGGTGTGGAAATACCTCATGGAGTGGGAGCCTGGGGGCGAGGAGGGGCTGAGACCCGCCCGACCCTCCTCCCCGCGCGGCTCCCCGGGCCCTGCGCCCCCGTCGGGCGGACCCCTCGCTCCTCCCCGCCGAGGCCGTCTCCCTCCCGACCCCGGACTCACGGGCCCAGGTCTCGGTCAGGGCCAGGGCCCCCGAGAGCAGCAGGAGGAGGGCTCGAGGCGCCATGACCCAATCCTAGGCGTCCGGGGAGAGTCTGAGTCTGAGTGGGGACTTTAGAAGCCGGACCGCAGAGACCCTGATTGGCTTCTCTAGAATCCGACACCCAATGGGAGTGGGAACCGGGGCCGCGTCACGAGTGTCCTGTAAAAAGGACCCAGCACAGGTTGGGAGAAGTGAAACTCAGCGGAGTGGGGAATCCCCAGCGCAGCGCCTGCCTAGTGCAAACAGTACCCTGAGACCCTGAGAGCGACGCCTGGGACCTGGGGCTTGGTCCTGATTCCTCTTCTCCTACACCAAGCCTCTTTGTCACACCGACTGCCTAAGTCCTGGCCAAGGATCTGTCTGTGGAAACCAGGGACAGACCCCCAGGCTGCGCCCAGATCCTTCCTCTTCACTGCTTGTCCTGGAATCCCCGACCCTGAGCTCGACTCCCTCCCTCCCTCTCCTACCTCTCCCCTTGGACGTTTGTGCAGGGAAACTCACCACGGGGAACTTGATGCCAGAGAGTGAGCTCGCCCTGGGAATGGAGGTGTAGAGACAGGGATTTTTTTCTCTAAACCTAGTGAGGTTTTGTCTGAAGGCACCACACAGATTCTCATGGAGACCAGTTTCCTTTTTGTTTTTTAATACAGTAGATAGTACAATATTGGTAATCCCTATATGATTAGAATTCCAATCTGTAAAAGACCTGTGTCAAAACAGCATTATAATTAAACTATCAAAGCTCCTGTTTTACTTTCCCAGACTATGGATCTGTGACTCTGAGTTGTTGCATTTAAAATTATCTTCATTCCCTAGCCCGAGTTTCCCTGTGTGAGTCCAGAACATCTCCTCAATACAAAGAAGCAGGGTTTGTTACTGTCTATTGCAACCGGGAGCCTGTAGTCATCACCTCAAATCTGCCAGTGCTCCATGCAGTCCCAAGGCTCTTCACCAACGCTCAAGCACTGCCTGTTTTCCTGAACTCTGCACATCTAAGCAGTGTGCACATGTTATTTGGACACTTGGTATTTTTGTAAACCCCCCCTTTTTTTTAATCATGAGGGGGTCATTAGTTTTTGGCAGTCCCACAAAATGTATTAAATGTCAAATGCAAACAACCCCCTACTAGGCTCTTCCACTGCTTTAGAATTCTTTCCTGTCTCCTTTTCCTCACCTCCTGCTTCCAGCCCTTCTCTCTGCCCCTCTCATCCCTCACACCCTCCTCTCCCCTTAGTCCCCGCCACCCTGTCACTCCTGAATTGTGGCACTAACACTGTCCCTCACCTCCTACCCATGTCTGTTCTCCCCACAGTGCTCAGTGGTCCTGCTAATGTGACTCATGTCGTGTCATTTCTTCACTTACTATGGCTGGATTTTGGTCTACAATTTATATGTTTTCAATTTGTCTCGTATCTTTTTGTTTCTGTTCCTCCTTTGCTACTTTTTTATGTGTCAAGTGAACATTTTTTAGTTTTGGTTTTAATTCTCCTAGTGACTTTTAGCTATATTTCTTTACACTAATGTTTTATTGTTGTAAGAATGGAACCTGATTCCTTGACTTTTCACAGTGAAGTTCAGGTTATAGTAAACTACATTGGGCAAAATAAAGGATACTTGTAACAGTGTAGTTTCATTTAACCTACCATTATGCTATTATTGTTTTATATATTATATCAATCTATATTATAAACTCAATGATACAGTGTAATACCTTTTGTTTTAGACAAGTAGCCATATGTCTTCAGGAAATTAAGAAAATGAGTGTGAATGTGACATGTGTATGTGCATCATTTCTGTTGTTAATTGTTCCTTTCTGTGTATCTGGGTCACCATCTAGTATCATTTCCCTTCACCCTGAAGAATTTCCTTTAAAATTAAATATAATACAGGACCTCTAGGAAATGAATTTTATGGCATTGATGATATAAAAATGTCTTTATTTTTGACTTCTTTCCCCCTCTTTTTTTTTTCTGCTTAGTAGGATATTTATGTGTAATAAAATTCAACAGTTTTAGCTGCGCCTTTTGGTGAATATTGGTAAGTATTTATAGTCGTGTAACTACCACACTGCCCAGTACAGAAACACCGAATGCACAGAACCCCCTGCTAGGCTCCTCCACTGCTTTGGAGTCCTTTCCCCTGCTCCTTGTCCTCACCTCCTGCTTCCCCAGCCCTTCTCTCTGCCCTCATCCCTCACACCTTCCTCTCCCCTTAGTTCCCACCACCCAGTTACTCCTGAACTGTGGCACTGTAGAGAACAGTTTCTTTTCCCTAAAAACCTTCTTTATGCCCCTTTCTATTTAATCCTTGCCTCCCACCCTCACCCTCTTCCCCTCATTCAGCCACTGCTCTGCTTTCTGTCGCTACAATGGTGACATTTCTAGAATGTCACGGACATGCAGTCATATGTTATGTAGTCTTTTGTTTGGTCTCTCCTTTAGCATAACGATGTTTGAGATGATGCCATTCATTCATTTTTATTGCTGAGCAGCTGCTGACTATTGTTGGAATCCCAGTTTATTCGTTGCTTTCTCTATTCTCCAGTTGATACACATGTGGATTCCTCCAGTTAGGGTTTGTTATTAATGAAGCCACTAGAAATAACTGCTTATAAGTGTGGCCTTACATTTTTATTTCTTTTGGATAACTACATATTTGTGGAATTGCTGGGTCATGTGGTAATGGATGGGTAACTGTGTAAGAAATTGTCATACCACTTTACAAATTGGCTGCCACATTTTTTGCATTCCTACCAGCAATATCAGACATTCTTGTTTTTTCCATATTCTTGTCAGTGTTTAGACTTATCATATGTCTTTTTAACTTAACCTACTCTAGTTGATGTGTGATGGCTTCTCATTGTGGTTTTAACTTGCACTTCTTAGATGACTAGTATTGTTTGCTATCCTTTCATGTTCATCTAAGTGACTTATTACATATATTTTATGAATTATTTTGTAAATTCACTGATTAATTCCAGAGACTTTTTCAGAATTCCCTAGTGTTTTCTACATAAGCAATGAAGCTGGTGACAAAGAAAGTCTTTTTTCGTCCTTTCTTATCTATTGACCTTTTTTCTTTTAAAATTATTTTTATTTGGTAGAGATGAGGTCTCTATCAGACTGGTCTCAAACTCCTGAACTCAAGTGATCCTCCCCACTCAGCCTCCCAAAATGCAGGGATTACAGACGTGAGGCACCATGCCCTGTCCTTGTTACACTGGTTAGGATGCCTGTTAGGCGTTTAAACAAGAATGATGAGAGCTCACATGTTTGTTTACAAGGAACTTAAACAAATTTACAAGAAGAAAAAACACCCCCATCAAAAAGTGAGCAAAGGATATGAACAGACACTTCTCAGAAGAAGACATTTGTGTGGCCAAGAAACATATGGAAAAAAGCTCAATATCGCTGATCATTAGAAAAATGCAAATCAAAACCACAATGAGATACCATCTCCTACCAGTCAGAATGGCAATTATTAAAAAGTGAAGAAACACTAGATGCTGGTGAGGCTGTGGAGAAATAGGAACACTCTTACACTGTTGGTGGGAATGTAAACTAGTTCAACCACTGTTGAGGACCGTGTGGCCATTCCCCAAAGTTATAGAACCAGAAATACTATTTGACCAAGCAATCTCATTACTGGGTATATACCCAAAGGGATATAAATAATTCTACTGTAAAGACACATGCACACATATGTTTATTGCAGCACTATTTACAATAGCAAAGGAAAAGAACCAACCCAAATGCCCATCGGTGAGAGACTGGATAAAGAAAATGTGGTGCATATACACCATGGAATACCACACAGCCAGAAAAATGAATGAGTTCATGTCCTTTGCAGAAACATGGATGAAGCTGGAAGTCATCGTCCTCAGCAAACTAACACAGGAAAAGAAAACCAAACACTGCATGTCCTCACTCCTAAGTGGGAGTTGAACATTGAGAACACATGGACACAAGGAGGGGAGCAATACACATCAGGGCCTATTGGGGAGCGGGTGGTGAAGGGAGGGAACTTAGAGGATGGATCAAAAGGTGCAGCAAACCACCATGGCAGATTATGCATATGTAATAAACCTACACATTCTGCACATGTATCCTGGAACTTAAAATAATATAAGTTAAATTAAAAAAGAAAGTGCATGTCTTACATGTATACATATGTTCATTGCAGCACAATTCACAATAGCAAAGACGTGGAATCAACCTAAATGTCCATCAGTGGTAGACTGGATAAATAAAATGTGGCACATATACACCACAGAATACTATGTAGCCATAAAAAAGAATGAGATCATGTCCTTTGCAGGAACATGGGTGGAGTTGGAGGCCATTATCCTTAACAAACTAAGGCAGGAACAGAAAACCAACTACCACATGTTCTCACTTATAAGTGGGAGCTAAACTATGAGAGCACATGGACACACAGAGGGGAACAACACACACTGGGGTCCACTTAACGGTGGAGGGTAGGAGGAGGGAGAGGATCGGAAAAATAGCTAATGGGTACTAAGGCTTAATACTTGGGTGGGTACTAATGGGTATAGAAATAATTTGTACAACACAATCCCATGACACAAGTTTACCTATATAACAAACCTGCACAAGTACCCCTTAACTAAAACTAAAAGTTAAGTTAAAAACAACAACAACAACAACAACAAACAAAGTGCATATCTGGAAAGGGCATATGGTTGGGTTCTGTGTTTTTTTTTAAACCAAGTCTTATAATCTCTGCCCTTCATTGGAGTGTTGATTCATCCAGGTTTTTGTCATTATTGATATGACAAGTTTTAGGTCTACCATGTTATTTTCCCAGTTTTTGTTTCTCTGTTCCTCTTGTCATGACCAATTACTTTTTATTAAAAACCATAGAAACAAAAGAAAGTAGAAAAACATCTTTAAAATGCTGGAAGAAAAAAAGGTCAAAAAGAATTCTATATCCAGCACAGATGTCTTCCAAGGACAGACAAAATAAGGAGATATTTCAGGTAAAAGAAAATGAAGAGAATTTCTCATCAGCAGATCTGTACAATAACAATTGGTAAAGAAAATTCTTCAGGCTAGAGGCAAATTATACCAGGTGGAAAATGAGATTATCAGAAAATATGAAGAT